TTAAATCCGCGGGAAAAAAGTAGTAAACATGTTATATGCTATACAAATATTTACAAAACTACCATTTCTTCGTTGAAATGCACTAATGAATCTAATAAAAAAATACATTTACAATAAAATTTGCAAGTTGATTTATAATTTTTGAAGAAACTGATACATATTTTCAAACAAGTCTTCTTTTTACATTAACAAAAATTACCTAAAGAACGATTAAATATTGTGAACAGTTTTCGTGTTCCATGTTAGAGTCTTTATCTTAGTAAGCAATGGAAACTGCTGATTCACCGATAAGACAATAAGCTCATTTCTAAAAAAACTATGGTTTGTCTTGAACATTGAGATTGATAAGGACAAACTTGAGGAATTAAATGGAAAAATATTTGAATGTTTAATAATAGTACTAACACGTGAACCAGTTTAACTTTTAAAGGTTATGATAACAGGTAGGTTTATGCTTGTTTGTTCATCCTTATATTTCTTACTTTCACTTTTAAATAAAATAAAATAAATTTGACCTTTATGTTCAAAAGTATTTCATTGAAAATGTCTAGGTATTTTTTGAATTAGGGAAAGGGCAAATCAATGATAGGGTCTTACACAAAAATAACGTTGTGAATGGTAGGGCTAGGTCTTACTTGGACATTTCTTGTGCCCTCAGAATGCTTGACTGTAGGTAAGCTAAGACTCCTAGAACGTCAGCGGGGTTGTCAATTTCAATAAGGGATCGCCTGAATCTGAAAAACAATCCATAAATAAAAATGATTCTTTAACATTCAGGTTCACAAGCAAACGTTCAATAACGTACAGCAAGAATGCCTATTTGTTAATAGTTAAAGAGGTAAGATTTTACATCGATACAAAGCTAATACAACATAGTACAATTAAGGAAGCTGAGATGCACTAGACCCAGTACTGACAGGACTGCTATCTACGTTTTGTATCTACTGCTTTAACAGTAAGCATTTTTCGTTGGGTGCGGGGGCTACAAGGGAGGCTAAGCCACACTTTGGAGTAGTTTCAGCCCTAGCAAGCCTCCCCCTCTTATCACTGCCCCTACTCAAGAATGAAAATATTTTAGATAATGTTTCTTACGCGTTAATGAGAATTCAAAGTTAACAATTAGAATTTATAAACATAACAGCATTTCATAATCATTCTGATCCTTCGTAAATTTTATTTGCTTGTCGTCAAAAAATGTTGTTTTCCGAAGCGACAGATGGTTTATCTATACCATTTTTTGAAACTAATATTTATGGCTTTGGATAGTGTACTTATATAATTTTGAAAAAAAACAAAAGTCAAGACGAAGACATAAGCATTTGCAGTAAAACCATCACGCGTTTGGTAACGTTTTAAAAAGTTCGTTGTCGGTAAAAGAAATGCTTTGATTCATCAAAAGTGTGAAGAAAATAAAATCCAGCTAAGATTAAAATGTGTTAGTCGAGAGTCTTGAACATGGTCTAGTTAATAAAACTTGTTTTCTAGTACTACCTGATTTTTTCAATTAAGTTAAATAAATAACAACAACAACACAAAAAGAAACTATTGTGTTTTGTTGTTATGATATAACTAGTTCTTTGGTTCTAATGTCCACCCATCTAATCACGGCTTCTATCATGATCCTGAAGTGTGGCTGTTGCCTGTGGAGCACTTGATATCTCGAGGTTAAGAAAGTAGGCGATGTAGTCTTCATTAGTTTTCAGATTATTTTTTCTTTTTCTATACTAACTATAGCCTTTCTTGATGGAGCTGACTTCTTATGAAGATTTTCTTGAGTGTTGTTGGTCTATACTCTGTACTCTCGTGAAAAATTAATGAATTATTCGCTAGAGCCTCAAGGCTTGGAAACAAATAAGAACTTTGACTCAGCGAACAAAGCATTCATTTGTTAAGTGTACAAAGAACATTCGTGTAACAGAGTGGGATGCTCCCTTGAAAGCTAGAGTGAATGTAGTACTGTACTTGTTACAGGAAGTCTGACATAGCCTCTTTTTCAGAACGAACGTAAACAATTTTCATGGTTTAAAACGAAACGAAATATTAACAAAATCCTTATCTTTTTTATTACGTCTCATTATTTGACCAAATATAAAATTAAGTAATTTTGAGAAGAAGTAAACAACATTTTTTTCCTTTCATTCAGTGGATGATTTATTTTAGGTTTGACCAAACTTCTAAAAATGTCAAGCATATTTTTTTTTGCAAATAAAAAATATGAATACTTTTATTATTTTCATATCAAGTTTGGCACCTGAAATGTCTTAAATGTGATAGAAAGCTATAGTTTGCGACCTCAAACTACAAACTGTAGTTTCTAAAATAAACTTTCATTTACTTTCAGAAAAACCCATAAACTTCATAATCTGATTTTTGGGTTTTTGTCAAGCATGTTCAATTAAAAAATATTATTTCCTTGTGAAAATATGAGTTGTTTTTTCTGTTATCTGACACTTATGTATTGGAGCTCAAAAATGTCAGGGTTTCACAATATTTTTACCACCTGGTTTTTCGTTACCAAAATAAAATAAAAACTCAAATGTCAATGTACGAAAAGACTATAAACAAAGTTCTAAAACAAACCAATATGAACTTATAATTCAAAAATCTGTACAGCAGTACCAGAGTTCATGTTTTCAATTTCAAGAATAAATTGAATATAGACCTCAAACTGCGTGTTTTATTTTTTCCCGTGTGTCCAATACTGTTCCACATCGTTTTATACTCCTCCCACCGGATCAAAAAGTACATATATCTACATCGTTCCTTTTCAACTTCATACAAGAATATATAACAGGATTTTCGAGATTTTTTATTTTATTCCGGAGTCCCAAATTTAGTGAAAATAACAGTTTGTTGTGTTTTTTTCTTATATAAAATAATCTAATTTGTACAGCTCAACGTGCTAACCTCTAAAACACCTTGCCGTGTAAAAGCAATGCAATTATTGAGATTTGGTTACTTGTAGTAAGAATCTAGCGAAATATGTAACATTTAAGAAATACGATGATTACGAAAGAGAATATTTTAGATAATGGTGATAAATGTTTTATTTAGGATGTTTTTTTAAATATAACATGAAATGTTAGAACACAACAGACTTCTGTAATATGGAAAAATGCAAGCTCACACAGTTTAGTACGTGTTCATAACTGTTGCTCTCTAGAATATATGTTTTATACATATACCTTATTCTTCTCTTGTCGAACATGAAGAACATTCTTAGAATATTTCCAGATATTTCTGATTGTCGCTATTAGAATTTCGGAGAAAGATGCTCTGATTAAACGTGTACCTGTAATTTTTCAGTAAATGTTTGGATAATGTAGAAAAACGTTATTTGTTCAATATTTTAACGAAGTTAGGTGTAAATTCCAGTGAATATTAAAATAAAGTAGCATTTGTGTCACCTGACATTTTCTTTGAATGTTGAAGCAACGTAGTGATGATGTTTGTTGTTTGTTCGGATGAAGATTGAAACACATTGAAGACATTGTTTTAACGAAAACGTTACCTGGTAGTTCCAGTGAGCGATGACGACTCCGAAGCGGTCCTGGTAACAATCAGGAACACCATTGTGGTAGCAAGAAGTAGACCACAAACTGATAACCTGAGCATGGTTTTGTCTGGGAGTAAGAATAAAAACGAGACTAATGCATGATACTACGTTTCATACACACATGCATCGTTTAGTAGACTTTAATATTGAATTGAATTTTGCTATATCTACTTGTGACATTGAAGTACAAAAAAATAGCATTAATGGGATATTTGTATTTTTCTAAAGCTTATCTTCTATATCTTCTTCTTCATAACGAAATGAACTTCTAGTTAATATAACATGAATTTAGTTAACAAATTAATCCACAAGTTTGAATTTTCATCTACTCACTAAACTAGTTAAAAAAATAAAAGTTTTAGTTTAATTAAACTTAAATTCATAAACGTTTCCCACTCTTCTAATAACTATTCTCTTTGTTAAAGCAGAACGTTGTTAATTTACTAAATTAAAAACATATTATCCAGATATGGTAAATATAAAATTATATGCTAACACCGCAAGATGAAGTTTTTTTATTAAAGGCTGTGTGACACTTGTATGTTTACTATTTTTTAACATAAAACTGAACACTTTGAAGGTTCAAACATATTTTTCTTGGATGTTTCTTGGATGTCATATGTTTCTTCAATAACGTAACGATTATTAGATATTTGTAAAAGAATGAAGTCATGAAATATTTAATGTAACCAAGTATACTATATGTGACATTCAGTTATACAACTATCATGGGTTAGTACTTCAAAATTTTAATAGAATTAATTATATTTATTGTTTCGGAATGTGGTCCTTGCCCGGAAAACCCACAAATGATATATAAGTTGATGAAAATAATTGAAGAAAAACTGAAATTATATAATTTTGTATTTATATCCCATGAAATATTAATCACGGGAACTATTCTTATTTCTGCACATAATTTTGATCACAGTTCTTATTAATTTTTCTTTAATTCGAATTTTAACCAGGTGAGAAAAAAATAAAATAAAACACCTATAACTACACAACTCAAACACCCAGCGTCTCCTGGAATGGTATTGTTGGTCAGCGCTATCGAGTTAACTGAACCATGCGTAATTTTTATGCGTTACACTTCTCAAACATGATAGTTAATAGTCGAAGAAGTTTAATTAGTCGTGTATACTTACAAATGTGGCTAATTAGTCGTGTTTATTTACAAATATGTTTAACTGGTTGTGTATACTTGCAAATGTGGTCTAATTAGTCGTGTATACTTACAAATGGGGCTAATTAGTCGTGTTTATTTACAAATGTGTCTAACTGGTCGTGTATACTTACAAATTTGTCTAATTAGTCGTGTATACTTACAAATGTGATAAAATAAGTCGTGTATACTTGCAAATTTGTCTAGTTAGTCGTGTATACTTACAAATGTGATAAAATAAGTCGTGTATACTTGCAAATGTGGTCTAATTAGTCGTGTATACTTACAAATGTGATAAAATAAGTCGTGTATGCTTGCAAATGTCGTCTAATTAGTCGTGTATACTTACAAATGTGGCTAATTAGTCGTGTTTATTTACAAATATGTTTAACTGGTTATGTATACTTTCAAATTTGTCTAATTAGTCGTGTATGCTTACAAATGTGATATAATAAGTCGTGTATACTTACAAATGTGGTCTAATTAGTCGTGTATACTTACAAATGTGGCTAATTAGTCGTGTTTATTTACAAATGTGGCCTAATTAGTCATACTTATTTACAAATGTGGCTAGTTAGTCGTGTATACTTACAAATGTGGCTAATTAGTCGTGTTTATTTACAAATGTGGCCTAATTAGTCATACTTATTTACAAATGTGGTAGAATAACAAAACACTTTAGAGTTTCACTGTTTGTTGGGCTGTGAAATTCATGTTATAATGACATCATCAAACAGGAGCTCCTTTAAATATATATTTACTTTTGTGATGAAAATAAAATGAAAGAAAATTATGAACATAATAAAAAACTGGCAAAAAAAAAAAAACTTTAGAGTTTGCCTGACAGAACCACACAATCGCTTATATGTGCTGGGCCCACTGCGACAATCGAAAACAGCATTTTAAGCTCTCAGACTTAATGCTGAGCCACCAGGGGCAAATTGTTGTTTTTGTTGTTTGTAATCAAGCACAAAGCTACACAATTGGCTATCTGTACTCTTCTGACCACGGTTATCGAAACCCGGTTTCTAGTGTTGTAAGTCCGCAGACATGAGTACTATTTTGTATGAAATTTTGTACAACTGTTAAAAAAATATATTTATATGAAACAAATAAAGTGAAACAGTCTGTTTAACTGGGATAAGTTAACACGATGTTATACAATAACATTAAATCATTATGATTTATACAACTACAATAAAGGTATTGTACAGTATGTATGGATTAACATAGTAATTTATACAATTAGTGTAATTAATATTTTTTACAATTAGAAGTAATTAGAAAAAGCAATGTGTAACAGAAATAAATAAAATAACACGAAGCAAGCATAATGAGAGAAAAACCATATATCTGTGAAATAAGGTAATAAAATAGCATTTGTAATTGGAATAAATAATCAGAGTGACATTTAATACTGAAGTAAATGAGTAATATGTAGGTGTAGTATAATTAAATATGTATAATAACATTTTATCTAAAACATAGCTAAAAAAATTAGCAAAATTTTCTTTACTACAAAAAGCAAAATATGGAAAAAAAAAAACCCTTCTGGAATTAACAAGATAACAGATAGAATAAATGTGATAAATGAAGTATACAAATTTAATAACTGAAATAACTTGCCTTACGTTTGCAGTAAGAAAAATTTGCATTAAAGCAGCTTATGTTTCTCAGTAACTTAATGAGAACAGCGTTTTGAAATAACAACACACGTTCACCTAAACCGAGAAAGTTAGATATTTTATAATTACAGAAGAGTAACTGAGTAGTTTCCTTATAAATGTGTAAAGCTAGATGGAACTAGAGTGCAATAGTTCTATAGACATAAAACAGAAGAGTTTAGGTTATCTCGATCGGTACTTAGAGTTCTATAGATATAAAGGAAGGCAGAAGAGTTTAGGTTATCTCGATAGGTATTTAGAGTTCTATAGATATAAAGGAAGGCAAAAGAGTTTAGGTTATCTCGATCGGTATTTAGAGTTCTATAGATATAAAGGAAGGCAGAAGAGTTTAGGTTATCTCGATCGGTATTTAGAGTTCTATAGATATAAAGGAAGGCAGAAGAGTTTAGGTATCTCGATCGGTATTTAGAGTTCTATAGATATAAAGGAAGGCAGAAGTGTTAGTTATCTTGATTAGGTATTAGT